CATTATAAGTACTCGTATATACTTTACATTATATTTAGTACTCGTATTAAATACACGAGAAGAAAACTCCATCACTTGAATATTAAATACCACAAAAGCAAAATAAGGAATAGAACACTATATTTTTGGAGTTGACATAAATACTTAAGTTAATATTTTACAAATAAAACATCATTTTACGTATAACAACAATGGTTATTATGTGTAAAATTAATTGCGTCAATAAGCAGAATTAACCATGGTCTTGTTGGCCATTGTATAATTTTTGCTTGATTTTTGGTATTACTCGTAGTTTTTACACACACTGCAAATTTGAGGAATTCAAAAATTCAATATTATTTCTGCATAAATATTAAAAGAATTTTATTTCATTGGAACAAGTTTTCACGTTCTTTATTTTCCTATGTCTTCCAGCCTATATACTATAGTTGCCAAACAACCACTTCGATCGAAACCAGTAACTTTTTCTATGGAAACCAGCATCTTCTTTTAAATTCCTCATTTGTTCATTGACGAAATTCGACGCATCTGCAAAAGTCTGAAATTCGAAGCTTTTAACTTAACTTTTTATTCTATTTCCGACCCTATCAAAATTATTTAAGGTTGAATTTTCGGCAATTCATTTTTTGCAAGCTATAAACTGTGAATGGTGAAAATTTTCTTTTCGGAAACTATAAAAAGTTTTTGAAAATGCTTATTGTGACTAAACTTTTTGAAGTAGGTATTCAAAGTATTTTAATTGAATACATACTTATTATATAAGAACGTATATTCAAAGGGTGTTATAAATTTGGAAATCTGTTTGTAACGCTAAGAAATGATGATCTGAGGTGTAGATGCAAATATATGGGTTTGACTAACGTTAAAATAGTTCAGTCGATTTAGCCATGCTTGTCTCACCAATAACTCAAAAACTATTTGAACTAATTTCACCAAATTTACACTAATTCTTTGCTACAGTGAATGCCGAAACTGTACCAAATTGTACTTCAACTGTACATTTTCATAAGCAATATCATTTTATATGAAAAATAAACGCAATTAGGTCCACTATATATGTTTGATAAAAGTAGTTTAAAATTCATGGCTTATTGTGGTAGCTGCCCTATAACTTTACAAGTTATTTGTCTATATTTGACTTATACTGACACAAACGAAATCGCAATGTGGCAATTATTTTCGATAAAATTTGTTAATATTTTATGAGTTCATGGTTTAAGTGAAAATTGTTTTAAGCAAATACGAGTATTTAAACCAAATTAGACACGAATATAAAAATAATGTTTTGATTTGTACGGGTGTTACATAGTTGACAGGCTCAACTCCATCTATTCTCGTAATTATATATACAAAATTATGTTTCGTTTATAGTTTAGGTTTAATTTAAAATATGTGCATAAAATTTAATTTATACCTTTCTTGTTATGTTCTTCTTGCTTCTAAATAATTTAATCAGTTCAATTTTAGCTCTTTCAACATAAACTTCTTGTTGTCAATTAGAACATTTTATTTCTTGTATAATTATAAAATTAGATTTAATCACATGAACTCTCTTAAAATGCTAGATTTTTATTTGAAATTCACTAGAAAAAATTTTTTCGAAACTGAAAATCCACAAACACAATAATATATCAATCGTTCTATTAATTTGACCGAACGCTACAATTTTATATTTAATTCAAAAATTTGTAATTATTTTCTTTAAATTTAAAATTGAAACCCCGAATAAATAACAAAGAAACTGGCAAATTATAAAGTTTTACTAATTTTAATAGAGAATAAGAGTACATAGAGTTGAATTACGTTATCGTATTATTTTAATAATTTTATTATCATATGATTAAATAGATAAGAAAAGAAAATATTAATAAAAAACAAAAAGAAAAATGACGAAACGTATAAAAAATTTATACACGATCAAAAGTCGAGATTTAAGAAAGAAAAGCTTCAGGGTTATTTTTCTTTATCATATTTTATTGTTAGAGTATAGCATTACCAAGTATTTCAGAGTGTTTGCATATTGAAATATCACTGAATTTGCAAAATAGCACTTAATTAAATTGTGGTTTGATATTGAGCAGGAGCTAATTCATTTGAACTCCAAAATTAATCAGTTTCATATCGTTTAATACACCAAACTACTCTCGAACAATGGTTCGTAAATTTAATGTTCTTTTACGTGGAAATTCGTGGATGCATTGCTCTTTTCATTTTATAAGAGAGAATTTCAGTTAATATAAACATAACAAAAATTAATGCAATGAGATTATGCATTACGTATGCTGTGTACGTTATACTGTGAAAAATATGAATGAAAAAGTATGAGAAAAAATTATCCGAAGAACAACACTGTTGGTTGTTCCTCTCAACATTAAGCATGTGTATAATATATTGTTTCGAAAATAAATACGGTTAATGAGTTTCTTAAATAAGCAAAGGTAATATTTAAATCACTATTTTGGAGTTCATAATTTTTAATTTAATTTGGGTAACATAACTTTTAATTTTCTAACTTGACTCAATTTTAGTTGGAATTTTCATTTCCTAGCTGTTTTCTTACATAATCCGAAAATTTTTATTATACATATTATGCATTATTCATTCAGTTCGATACTATCACACGACAGTGTTATAACAGGCATCTAAACATAATCCAATTCAGTTTCCGTGCTCATTGTAGCTAAAGAAAAATAAGAAAAGACTGCCTAATTTTCAGTTTTACCTAATTAAAGAATAATGTTGCGACTCTGATGACCTTCAAGGTAATTCATAAATTAATTCGGAATAATATTTTATATCACAATTTTAAAAAATTAAAAAATATTCGTTAAAAATTAAATTTGATATAATTCTTCTTAAAAATTTTATTAACGTTCCAACATAAACAACTTAACATCCCAGACGGAAGTTACAAAATTTAAAATTAAAATGTTATTTGTACTAACCGTAAATCTGCTAACTGAATGTTTTACATACACATATTATTTAAATAGTAATATACATTTATAAATATGTGTATACACAGTCGAACTCGTTTAAAATTAACTTATTTATGAAAATTCTTTAATATTAAGTATAGGACGTTTTTGTCAAAGCTTATAAACAAGTTGTTGCACTAATAACCGTGTTATACTTAAAATGAGTACACTTTTGTTTTAGAAATATATGTGACATATTCTGATTTCACTATGTCGAGACTCGTTTAAGTATATTTCGATTTATTACAGAAAAATTTTCCAATATTACTAAGGTGTATTCCAAGAAAGGTGATAAAATAAAAATTTTATGAAAGCGCTCTCAAAGCTTAGATATGAAAAACTTGTTAATTTTTACCGACCGCATTGTGTATACAATAGGTGGGTTATTTTTAATTAGTTACACGATATAAAAAAACCCATAAACGAAAATCTAAATTTACTGTAAGGGTACGCACAAGTTATATATATATATATATACAGACGCTGTAAATTATTTTTACTATTATTTTTTCAATTTTAGCAAACTCTAATAAGTGTTAATTACTTCATCGTAAAATTTTAAAAATTGCATGTTCTGCAATGGAGAGAGATGGTGTTCTTCATTAACAGGGAATGTACTGTACGTATGTATGTCGTTACGTACAAATATAAAAATTTATATAAATAAACGGCAAAATAAAAAAAAAATCGTAAAATTATCGCAAAGAAAATTTGCCGTGTTTCTTTTTTTTTGTTTTTTTATTTTTAACATGTTTACATGATTAGATAAAATTAAAAACACGAGAATAGCTTGTAAGCTTTGAGCGTTGCTTTAAATTTTTTTGTTTATATTAATTTTAATAATATTATTTTTATATTATTGTTAATAGAGCGATTTCATATACGTGATAAAACTGATATATAAAATTCAAAATAAAAAATTATATGAAATTCTATAATTAACAAAGAAACAAATTTTACTTATTGCGACTGACATGTGAATAATTTTAATTAACCATACAGGCTTATTTTATAATATAGTACTTATATGTATCAAACTGTCACTACTCAGTTCTCTTCTTATATACTTAATTTATTACATATATAAAACTGTGACTTCTCAAGATTCACGAGAAAAATGTTTTTATAATTAATGAGAAAAATCAACTATTCTCTCGTTTAAAGCTCATTATTCTCTCCATTAAGCTTTTGACATTAATTACGGGAACTCTCGTCATTCTCTCATCAATGGAAATATTCTCAAATTGCAGATTACGTAAATTCCTGTCATTAGTTAATTTGTTTTGCAAGAGCACTCATTTATTTGCGTTTCTAGTTTTTTAAGTTCAAAAAATTAATTGAACGCCAATATGTTAAGTTCACTATTCTGTTTTTTGAGGTTCATTATTTTTTTTTTAATTTATTTAATTTATTTTAATTTGTTTTAAATTATTTAATTTAAAAAACTGGGAAAAAATTTTAAAGAGTCGAATAACAACACAATGAATTTGTCTAAGCGTATGCATACATATATGAATTATAAAAATTGATAAATTTTATATATTCATTAATATAACAGTAAAAAATGTAATAATTTTCTAAATGCTATATAACAATTTATTAATGTCTTCAATTCCAGTATCAAATGAATTAAATTAAAAAGTGCATTTATGCACTTTGAAAATCACCCAGTATATAAAATTCACATTTGTATTTGAATTTAAACCCACTTTTAACTACCCAATAATAGATGGCGCTGTATGTATAATTTTCAAATTCATATTTAAACGAAAGAAAACTAATTAGAAGCGTTTTGTTATTGAACTTTTGAGCTTTTCTTTTAAATTTTCTTTTTAATATCTTATCTTAAGTGAAAAATGATAAATTACTGATAGATATCTGATAAAATGATAAATTGTTGACATATTACAATTGCACCTCATCATATTCATTTGATTTATAAAAATTGATAAAAAAACAACTAAAAAATTAAATTTTCAATTTAAAATTATTAATTAAAAAAAAAATTATTTAAATAAAAATTTTAATAAAAAGATGCTTCTATTTTTTATAATTTTCAATTTTTTATTTAATTATAAATTTATTAGCTGTGATTCTACAATTTCTGTTGATAAAAAAATTCCAATTATTCTTTATGATAATTCGAAATTTGATGAGAATGGAATTTGTTTTTCATCATTAACACAAGCTGATTGTAATAAAAATGAAATAATAACAGCAAAAGGAACAGAATTTGGTTGTCCAGCTTGTTCTTCGAAAGGCAAGCAAGGTTAGTAAGGTAGTTATATTAAAAATCAAAAAATTTACAATCAAGAATGAAAATATTTTAAAAAAATTTTATATTTTAAATATAGTTAGAGATGTTTGTGGGCCATTTGATGATGAAAAATGTCAATTTGGATTGATTTGTAATACTGATGATGGTGTTTGTGATCTTGATAAATGTAAGTAAGATAGAAAGTATCATGAATTCATTTAAAATTTTCATACGTATCAATTTTGTTATTAAATTTTATTTCAAATTCGGAGCTACTGTTGTCTACAACAGGATTCTTGCCAAAATTTGTTTAAGAAATCTTCAATAACACAGATGTGAAAAGTTTCGGTTTCTCTTTTAATTACAAAATATTTTTAATTTCAATTAATTTAAGAGTATACAAAAGCTTTACGTTTTTGTTTAAATTAATTTCACTTTTCGAAAATATAGAATTTTTTTCCGCAATTGTTTTTCAAGACGATTTTTCGTTATAGTTCTGGAAAGGCTTATTTTGAAAATGACCCAAGTCCATTTGAAAGCAATGATAATGTCAATAGTTGGTATGGAAATTCATGGAATTGGATAAGAAAATAACTAAATATTATGTAAAGTGAATAGACAGTTGATCTAATTTTTGGTTACTTTAAATGGAAACCAAACAACGCAATCATCCAAACCAGCGACTTATTTAGTTTTTATTTAAAATGAACTTAGGCTGAATTTATTCCAAATAAAACATGTGATATAGTTAGTTGTTGAACATTTGGATTAAAGCAATTCAATATAGATGAGCAATTTTTAAATATTAAAATAGATGAGCATTAGACTATAGATCAGTAATTTTTAAAAATTAACCATTAAATCTGTTTATTTTACGAAACTTGACCAAATGTTAAAATTTTATTAAGACTCTCTTACAATTATTGCTCTTAACTAATTACCAACAACATACTATTAATATCGAATACATAATAATTTCGAATACATAATATTGAAACATATTTACATATTACATAAATTAACTACCTATATAAAGAAAATTAAAAAAATATATTTATATTATTTTTTAATTGGTATTCAACACCAACCCACAACTCAAGTAAATATGGAATTAAAATTAAAAGCAAATTATGAAAGTAATTTTTATTTTCCTATTAATGTAATAAATATTTTTGTGCAATTTGTTGCCAGACATAATAAAATTAATTATTTATTTAATATTTTTATCTTAAATTGTATCATAAAAATTTTAATTCATTCTTTTATTTTTATAAATACTCAATGCAATTTGTTAAAATAGAAAAATATGCTTGCTCTTTTATGTGTATAGAACAAAGTGAGTGTATCACTTAAAGTGTGACCAATGTTTGTAAAAAATAAAACATGTAGTTAAATCAAGCCTAAAATAAGAAATATTATTCAACCTCTTGACCCTTGAATTCTGTAGTCTTCTTGAAGTGCTTAAATTTTGAATAGTAAGTCTTAAATCACAATATTAGTGATTTTTATATACTATAGATCTTAGAAAGCAGTTTGCATTAAAACGAAATTACGTTTATAATTACAGCTCAGATATGCTAGAAATTTTCAATTAGAATTTAATTCCCATACTGTCATGAAAGTTAATTATTATGATTGGCTAAATTTAGGGTATAATTCAGTTAGTTACACTGAAAAAATTTTCACTATTATTTTAATAAAATTGATATCAAATTAATAAAAATGTCATTAAAATACATCCAATAATGAATAACTATCAAATTAATAACGAATTATTAAAATAATAACACTTTAGAAGAGAGAGAATGAAAAATGAGAGAGAACTTAATTTAAGTGTTGTTGTTGTAAATTAATTGCAATGATTATTAGTTTAATGCATAAAAACTTTATTTTAATTATTTAAGACTATTGATTTAATAATAAATAATATTTTATTAAAAATTGATTGCTGTTGATTTAATAGCATCTACTATGGATTTAATAATAAGATTACTAATTTTAATAAAGAAATTTATTAAATTGATTGGTCAAAATGTCAATTTAATAAAAAAAGATTTTTTGTTTAACAGTAGCAATTGTTAATTTAACAATACTCTCTATTAAATTAATTGCAAGTTAGGGTGATATTAATAGTAAAAACTATTGATTTAATAAAAGGAATTGTGACTGTTAATTTAATAATTCGTTGATTATATTAACAATATTTATTATTATGAAATTGAATTGCTGTTGTTCCTAGTGAACAAAAAAATTAACAAATTTTTTCTATGCTAAAAAAATTTTTATCAAGATATAATAATTTTATTACCACATTCAAATTATTATCTTGGTAAAATCTTTTTTATCATAAAAAAATTTAACATTTTTTTTAATTACCAGGATCAACAACAATTCAGTTTGAAAGTAATAAGTATTGTTAATATAATCATCGAATTACTATCTTTACAGTAACAATTTCTCTTATTAAATAAATAATTTTACAATAACTTTCTAATTTGGAAAATAAAACATTATAGTTATACTTTGAAACTGAATTTAACCAAATTTTATTTTTCATCATTTTGATGAACTAATTCATGACACTATTTCATATTTCATATTATTCATTACATACAAAAATATTGAGCTCTGTAAAAGTTATTTTTTATATCTAAATTAATTAATAAATTGATTATTATATTAAATTTTTTATTGTTGGGTGTCCGTTATTTTCTTTTAATTCTTAAAACAAACTCTTGAAGAAAAGTCCAGAATGATGATGCTGGCTGAGTATATTTAAGATGAAAAACATGAAATATTTTGAAGCATATATCAATAGCCCTTGAATTAAAATGTTGAATTGAATAATCTGAAATTTAAATTTAAGTATTACAATAACAATTAACTTTCCCAATTAATTTCTCTTTGATAGAAAAAATAGTTTAAACTTACTTTCAATTTTTTGCCAAAGCAAAATGTGTTCTTCTAAAAGCACTTGAGCTCCTAATTGTATATACTTCTATATCTTAAATTAAAAAAAAATATGGTGTGGCTGCAAGTGTAAAAACGTTTGCACATCTATGTTTGCTTCTAGGTATACATAAATACAACAAGAAAAAAATAATAAAATTTAATTTAATCTTTACGAAAATTTTCGTTTATTAGTTTACCTTAACAAATTTCCTTAATTTTATATTTTTTATTTTATAACTTATTTTATTATTTTATTCCTTATTTTAAGTTATAAATACTTTAAAATTCTCACTAATTTTTTTTTTTTTGACAATTAGAACTGAATTTTATTTAAAGTTTCACAAATGTTACTGCAACAATACAGAATATGTTTTTTGTTTTGCTTCTAGATGACTACTAAAATATTAAATGAGAAATTTACAAAACTCTTTCTTTTTATTTTTATTTTGATAAATGTTTTTATTAAAATTATAACATTTCGTCAAAAATAATAAATTTGTTATTGAAATAATAAGCAAAGTTATTATTTAAACAACTTGAAATTTATATCTCTCAAAAATTCCCGTTATAAAGAAGTAGACAACTGTCTCCACTCTCAAAATATTTGAAAATTTTGTAAGTAATAACATTAACGTATAATGATATTTCAACAAAAATAATAAACTTGTTATTCGAATAATAAGCATTGCTATTATATTAATGACTTGAAACCTACATTGCTCAAAAAACTCGAAAGATCTCTTGTTAATAATTTACATTATTCTCTCACTCTCAAAAATTTCGAAAATTTTATTGCAAAAATTATTAAACGAACAAATTGACTATTATTTTAAAAATCGATTCTGATTTTAACAAGAAGTAACGTTATACTGATGATTCTTATTATTAATTCTATGACTTGCGATCGAAATAACAATTTTTGTGATCAAAATAATAACAAATTTTTTTTTTTTAATAACAAATTTTAACAATTTTTGTTATTATTTCAAAAGTAATATTTTCAGAGACTATTTCGGAGAAGGTTGTACATTTGATAATTTTTTGCATAGTTTTAATAATAACGTTTATTATTTCAAAAACTTTGGTGATTATTTTAAAAATTTTGTTGTTTAAATGTAAGTTTGAATGGGCGATTATAAAAAAGATAATCTTTTACAGTTCAAATAATAATAAATGACATTACTTTCATAATAAATGACATTATTTTAATAAAAATGATTGTTAAGGTTTTTAATAAACTTTTTAACAATCGATTTATTAAAAAAATAGTGAAATTTTTTTGAGTGTAAAGTCGACTAAAACATTTTATCATGTTTTGCATTTTTAATGTAAATCTGAATATAACGTGATTAGCGAAAATTAAAAATATTTCTTTATTTTCAACAAAAGTTTATTCTTAACTTTACCAAATCACAGATTTTAAACTCTTTCTGTTGCATTAACCTCAAATGGTATACACTGTATAGCTTCTAATAAATTATTTTTTCTTTTTAGGTAAAAATTTCAGTACAAAAAGTAGGATAAAAAAAAAACAAATACCACGCATTTAACAGTTTCATTACATCTGGTCCGCATATTCTAAATTTTTTTTTTTTAATATTTCATTGATTTTTTCATTGTTTCATTATTGCAGCAACGTGTGCCTATATTTATCATTTGAAAAATTTAAGGGAAGATGAAGCAAAAATTGATTCAAGTAAATTACCAACATGTGAAATTGATGGTACTTTTGCAGCAGTTCAATGTAAAGGCGATCGTATAACTGGAAGGTAAGTTGAATGTGGGTGGCTATTTTTATGTTTTTTATGAACTGTTGAATATTTTTATTGCACTTTATATAATTTTTCCAATATAATTTTATTTTTACTTTAATATTTCATATTGAGAAACTTTGAATACAGGGTTTAACATAGTTTTATATCTGGATTTATGAAATCAATTTCTATTTTTAAATATAACTATAAATTCTTATATATACATATATAAAAAGAACTATAAAAATTTAATTAAAACTGCAAGTGCATAAATGACATTTTCATACTAAAATATTGAAGTACTTAAAACAAAAAATTAAAAAATTAACTATACTTGACTAAACGATAAATCAGCCAAGTTATTAAGTATTAAGGTAGTTAATTTTCTCGCTATAGTCAAGAACACGGTTGTGAAAAGCTGTAACAAAAATACAATGAGCCCGTTTTGATCCTCTTTTCATCCTTAATTTATTAGACAATAGTATACCACCCACAAAATGAGCTTTGCTGTAATTCTTTAGACTAGTCCATTGAAAAGTAAGGCTCGCTTAGTCCTTTGATAAGAAGGTATTGATTCAGTATGCGAATCGATTTGTGATCTCTTTCATTACTAAAAGCAATTGCATCATATAAAAATTGAGAAGTTTTAAGGTTAATGTATATTAAACTAAGCGACTATTATAAATATCAGTTCAAATTTTATTATAAAATAAACTCGAAATAATTTTATTCCTATTTGTTATATATCAGGTTCAGTTCATTATTAGGATTGTGCTTAGACGTCTCTGATAATCTCATTGAATATTTAAACTTCATTCTAACAATCAAAGGAACACAATTTTCACTTTTGTTCTATACAGTTTTCTTGTAAATTTCGAGCAAATAAATTGAAAACGTTAACAGTATCCTCTTTATTGAGATTAAAAATTGAAACCAGATTAAGCATTAATATGAGAGTAATAATTTTTGTTCGATTCTTATAATTTTTAGCACTTTTCCAAAAATTTTTTGAAAAAAAGTGCTTATTAGTTTCACTCTGTCCGTCCGTCCGTCCGTCTGTCCGTGTGTCTGTTTACAAAACTTCTACACCCTTGAAGATAGAAAGCTGAAATTTTATATGTACATAGATCTTTACTAGAAACTTATTTCTGTAGAACAAAATTTTTACCTATCTCCTCCCCTCTAGAAGTTATACCCCCCCAAAACCCTAAAAATGGCCTTTTTTAACTATTTGTTGCAATGAAACCATAAGCATTTTTGAAATTTTGCAAACGCAGAAAAGCAGCGGCTTGCTTCCCCTAGCGCGGCATACTATATTTGAACTTTAGAAAAACAAAATGGCCGTTCAAATTTACCGTTATCTAAAGTCCTTTTTTTGCAAATTTTTGATGTCGTTTTTTTTCCAAACTACAGCCTGTAGAAGCTTGAAATTTTAGGAGCTTTTAGACATTATCAAATAGTTCATTTCGCTAGAAGAAAATTTTTTTCCATCTCCACCCCCTCTCAAGTTATCGCCTCTTGAAATTTGTAAAATTTGAATTTTTGACACCTTATATTTTCGAAACCGCAAGCTTTTTCAAATTTCTATTAACGCAAAAAGTTAACGGTAAATTCCATGAAATTAAAAAATATAATTATTTTTCTTAACTCACAAAATTAAACCTTAAAATCGAGCATTATGTTAACCCCACTTTATATTAATTTTTGCTTTATTTCAAAGACTGCATAAATCATTCATCCTAAATATATGCAACCCTAGAAATAGTTTTGTATATGAATGAAAATAATTTTAATAGTGTGATAGGTACATAGACTACATAGACTGTATTTAAAAGCAAAATTTTCATTTGTTGAAGGGAAAAGTGCTACAATACAAACCATTGGTTTGACCCAACTTTATTTTAGTATATTTATGCGTTAATTAAATTTGTTCATAAACATTGCTTAATTATCAGCAATATTGTTATGAGCAGCGCAATTGAGTTATAAGAACTGTTTTGCTTTTATATTATAATAGCCAAAATATATTGCACATCTATTACGTTATGTTTTTGAAGGTATGTCTGTGTTGGGATTCGCAGTTATTGTTTTAAGATTTATAGAAATTTTTATAATCTTAATAAAAAGAAATCTCAAAAATATTTATTTTATTACGGAATCGTTTGATTTGTACAAATTTTGCTTCATTTTACATAAAATCTCATCTTAAAGAAGATTTACTTTTATAATATGCCTTTAAACACACATATTTAAGAATTTGGGAAGAATTTCATTTAATAAACAAGAATTGTTAAGAATTTTGTTTGATAAAAATTCTAAAATATTCATTAAGAACACAAAATTAGCTAGCTAGTCCCCAGCTATTCTACACATCTCGTACAGAAAACCCAAGAATATTTCCACATTAAATAACCTAATAAAACCAAAAATTTATTAAAATTATTTCCTCAAATATCAGAAAAAAGCATTGAATTTGAATTTCTTTTCAAATTTAATTTGCCGCATAAAATTTTTGTTTATTTTTTCTCATTTTCTTCCCATTTCTATATCAACTGAAGACTTGTAAATTACTTGAATTACATAACAGGAAAATAATTATAATTATATGTAATTATAGATTGAAAATTATTAACAAAATCCACACACACACACTCTCTCTTATATGTATATAAAAAATGCAAAAAAAAATTTACACGTTACACAGTAAAAAAAAAAATAATTGCACAAATTGAAAATTATAGAGAGCGGCAGTAGAATTTTTTTCTATATTAACAAAGTGAACCTATAAATTTAATAAATTAAAGAGAAACAAAAAACAATTGAATAAATTTAAATAAATTGGCAAGTCTATTAAATTATAAACACTTGTATAGTAATTTTTAAAATTATATACTTATAAGTATATATATATATATACATATATATAGTGAGCTCCCATACACAAAATGTATAAAGTTTAACTTGTAACTATAAACTTTTTGTTAAAACAAAAAAAAAACGAAATATTCAATACGCGTAGAGGCCAGACCTATGAGAATTTTATGTCTGCATTAAAAAATTGTATTAAGAGAAAAAAACAATAAAGTAAAATTGTAAATTAGTGATTATAAGAAGGTGAAATTAATGTGTTTTTCGTGTTTTAGAATTCTTTTAGAGTTCATTATAATTTTTGTATAATTGTTTCTTGCGTCATTAAAACTTAAAATTTAAAGATAACTTCAAAATCCTATGTTAAGAAGATTAAAGTCGATTCAACAAAAAATTTCTTCATATTTTTAAATGCAGAATTGAACACTGAGCATCAAATCAAATTATTACAAATGCAGAGATGCAATTGAATTCAAGTTAAAAAAAGAAATTTAATTAAAGCTGAATTGTAGATTTAAAAAAAAAAAATTAAATAGTAGAGCTAAAATCTCATCTTTAATTGGACAAAATCGGTTTTACTTAGAATCCCAAAATATGACTTTCACTTTTCAAATATTATGCACCTGGACTGAAACTATTAATCTTCAGTTTATTTTATTTAAAATTATGTGCACTAAATGGTGCGAAATTTTACTCGATTTTGTAATCTTAAAATAATTTATTTAAGGATAAGGCAAACACGAAGCGGTAGAATGCATAATTGCCTCTATAAAGATAATAGTAGGTAATCACAAAAAAAATTATTATCGCTTGAAGCATTGCAAGATCTTAAAATAACCACTGCTCTCGTAAATCAAAAATAATTTGGAAATCGAAAAGTGTTGACTCAAATTTAATTGATTAAATCTTAAAACTATCCCAAAATTATTCCTAAAATTATGCAATATATTTAAAATTTGTTTAAATCAGAGTAATAATCATTAATAAACTTATTATCAGAGGTAGGAAAAGGCATTTTGAAATTATTAAATTTATCTGAATACAAGGGATTTCGTTGGGTCATTTATAACTTTGTCTAAAAAAGAAAAACTTGAAAATAGAAAGAATTTAATGTAAACTGTGAGGAACGGTTATTTTAATTTTTATAGAATTAACTCATTGCATTCAGCTTTCTGTAGAATTTTTTATTCTCAATAACCCTGTAAATTAAATCCGAACAATTCTCAAATTTATTTGTTCCCAAAATATTCATTACCCCAAATATTAATTCTTATTTTTAAATTGATTTGTTAACGAAAGCTTGAGCCATATAAGAATGGGGTATGAAACCGAAACTTTATCGAATAATACCATTTGCTGATAAAACTTTTCCAAAAATCTAGTTAGATAACCATAAAATTTTCGATTCATTCAACATGACACATTGTTATAAAAAAAAAAGGAAAGAGGCAAAACTTTATTTTTCGAATTTGATTATTAAGAAATAATATGATCATACAAAACTGTTACATTCTATACATATATGTTGCCGCTAATCCCCTATGTCAACTTACTCCTGCTCCAACATGATTCCTCTATGTAATGAGTAAAGACAATAGTAAAACATGCAAAAACAAAATTCTATTGAATAATGCTTACATGAAAAAGTAATAATTTTTTTCTTACAGATGTTTTTGTTTCAGTCCAGAAGGCAAAAGAATTTACGGTTGGGCATGGTGGAATGAATTACAAGATAATCAAATGAATTGTGCCTGCAGTTTATTAAAATATAAAATGGAGCGTCAAGGATTACATGGCAATACAATGCATTGTGATAAAATGGGAAATTTTGAGGAACTTCAATGTATGGATGGTATGTGTTGGTGTGCTGATACATTAACTGGTGAAATACAAAATAATACAAGAGCTGTACCAGAAACTATGTGGAAATTTTTACCGTGCTGTAAGTGAAAGATATTTTATATTTGTAACTCCCTAACTGCAAAGTTTAATATCTGCAATATTTAGATTAATCTTATAGCAAAGTCTTAGAAAACCTTCAATCACACTCGTAATTACCTACTAGATGCAATCAGAAAAACAAAAATATTTAAAAATTATTTAAAAAAATTTTGGTATTGATTTAAAAGTGAATGTTTAACACATTTAATTTTTTATGCTTTAAGACACGTCCTCCAGGTATTCATTATTGATATTTATTTTTAATAGAAGAAAAAAATAAAAATCTTGAAATCAGTAAGAGCTTTAACACTCTTGCTGTTGAATGACAAGAAACAAATAGTTTTAGGCCATTTACTTAAGAAAAAATAATTTTAAAATTATTTTCAAGAAAAATAGTGTGAATTAATAGTAATTGATTTCAAAATAATAATTTTCTTATAAACTAAACCAAACACGTTAAAAGCAAATTTGACAATTAATTTGATCTTAAGGCTAATAACAATTTATTTTTTCACCTATTAGTGACATTTTTTTAGCATAAAATTTATGAACTAAAATTTAATTCTTAATTAAAAGTTCGCAATTTTCGCTAACTGTTGTGATTCTGTATAGTTATGGCGTATTTGACACAAAATTGTTAAAGAATAATATTCCTTATTGCTCTTCCAACTATGGCAATCAAATCCAAGGTTTGCAAAGCTGCTTTCAGTTTCCTATATGTCCGGACGTTTGGATATTTCTTACGATATTTTGATTGGTTTTACTAATGACATTATGCTTTAAAACTTTTTCGATTTTAAAAAAATCCGGAGACTGAAATCAAAGCACACAAATTTACAAATTAGTTTTAATATCAGATATCAAATATCAGTCCTTCGGTACATAAGGGTAAATCGAAAATTTTTCTTGTATGTGTGTAGTTGTAAGTAGCTTATAGTGTAAAAATATTTTTGTTCGGACTTTCGGACAGTGAAAGGAAGCGGACGTTAAGACAGCAAGCATATCCTTTTAACAATATAATGTTGCATAACTTTAGGAGAAATATTATATTAATCGCTTTAAAACTTTAATAGATTAAAGATTTTAATTTTTTTAATTAGTAATTTACTTAAGAGACAAGAGAAATACTTTTGGTTAGAAGAACAATTACTGCAACATTCTTACTTTTACAGGAGTTAGATTGTTTATGTTGTGTCTAAAGGAAGATCTGTGGAAATTTTGATTCATAAATAATAGAATTTTTTGGATAATTAAAAAAAAAATTCGTTTAAAATTACAATTAAATTGCGGAAAGAAATCAATTTAAGTGCTAGAAAATATATTTTGATTGTTTAAGGCAATTGCTCTTAGCTCTGACACAACTATTTACATTTTTACCAGTTTAACTACAACTCAAGAGGGAGGATATGTAAAATATTTAAAATAAGTACATTCTAGATAAATAAGTACTTCAGTAAGATCTGTTGCAATTTGCTGTCTTGACATTAATTTAGATGGCTAAATGTCAATTTGTCATTTTCGTTTTGCACTTCTTAATTTTACTGCATTTCTTAGAAAATAAAAAATTTTCTTTTCGTAAATATTTGCAGATGATAAAAAATATCATGGTGATCAATATTTGAGGCAATGTGAAAGTATCGATAGAAATCAATTAATTTTAAAAAAAGCTTTAGCAGCGCATGGTACAACATTGGTTGAATTCAATAATATTATGTGTGATTATGATGGTAGCTATGGGCCAATTAGAAATCTAGATGGAAAGTAAGTTGATTTTATTTAAATATAAAGTTATAAATTGATTTTATAACTTTTTAATTTTTTTTTTAGAATAAATTGTCAATGGACTGATGGCAGAAATCTCCCACCATATACAGCTGAATCGAAATATTTTGAAAAAATGAATTGCAGTAAGTTCTAAAATAAAAAGTTGTTATTTTTCTATTTTATAGCACAAAACAGAGCATTATTGTGGTTGGTGGACAATAAAATTTCAGTTATATTTGGTATACTTGAATTCTCTAAAAACAATTAGTCGGAATTGTAACACAACCTTACATTTACATTTGTGCTATATTATAAGCAATTCTCTACTTCATATAGCGACACTTTATTTTAATGTATGAAATTTCTAAAATATTATGATTTTCTTTAGAAGCAATGAGGAAATTTTAGCTGAAAACTCACACTTTTAAGGTTTTAAGTACAATATTCGAATTATTCTTTTACTACGATAAATTGTTGCATTCTTTTAGGACATTATTAAAGAAATAATTTCAAAAAAGAAATAATTTTGAAAAAGTTATTCACAGAGTTTCCATAAATAATTGATTTTTCATTGGTACTGGTGCAAAACAATTCTCTTGAAAAATAATTTTTACTACTTACAAGATCAGTATAACAAATTTTTAAACGGAAACACAGACAATCGAACAGACATAGTAATAAAAATATTTTTTAAAAAATTTTTGGTGCATCTAAAAAACTCTGCAATAAATTTATTTACCACTACCTTGATTCTTATGTATCTAAAATTTTCAGAAAATCAAAATAAATTTTTTGATAAATTAATAGAGAAAAAAAAAGTAAATATCACTGGCTCTATGAGACATACAAAATAAAATGAGTAATATTTATAACACCTACATTGGGGAGCTCAGAAACATAACAACGTTTAGACTATCAGATGTTTCTGAGCCCCTCAATAAATGTTGGTGCTATTTTAAGTAAATATTAAACACAATCTATTTTTTTCCTCAATACAGTTTGTGCACGAGATAAAAAAATATTTGAAGAAGCTGGTTTTAATCATCGTTTAAATTGTGACATGTATGGAAATTACAAACCAGATCAACATATTAATGATAAAACATTTTGTGTTGATCGTGATGGTTTTGCTGTGAGTGGTGCTATTGAAGTTGATCCAAATACAGAAATTGATTGCAAAATATATACATATTACGATATTATTCTTAAGCCAGAAAAAGAAGTTTCAGGTGAAAATGGAAATGGTTATGATGATGACAGCGATTATTTTAAAGATACTAACGAAGATTACAATTGAAAATTTTTTTAAAAATAATTAAAATTTAAATTTAAACATACCTTAAGTCTTTCTATTTTCTTCTTTCTAACTAAAATAAAACTTCCTTAACTTTAATATTTCCTTCTCCTTTATTTCTCTATTTCTATATTATATTTAGTATTTAAATTTTTAATACTAAAATCACTCCAAAAAATTTTGTAGAAATTTTACATATTGGCTGCAATTATTTCTTTAAATTAGTTTTGCCGTAATCTAAATGAACAATAATGTTGTTCTGAATACTTCAATACGATCTGAAAGAATAAGATTAAAAAAAAAATTAATATTAATTTAATATATTTTTTAAATTTATAATTAAAATTAAAATTTAATAATTTGAATTTTGAATATTTGAAATCAGTGGTAAAAGCCGCATAATTCTGTTTAAAAGATTTCTACAAAACAAAAAATTTTCAATACGATTTTTTTGCTAAGAAAGTAAAAATCTTAATGTAAATAACAAAAAATAAAATACTAGAAAACAGGGTGTAAACCATGGTCCTATACTACCATCAATTTTTACCAAAAAATTTCTGATGCACTAAAAGACAAAGCACTATACAAAACATTAACTAAGAAAAAACAACATACTATTTAATAAGTTTTTTAGAAAAAATTATTGGTGCAATTTACAGCCCAGGTGCTTAGCGTACAGTAAAAATTTCTTTGCTTTATGAAATTGGAGAAACTGCGGTTAAAAAATAATCAGAACTTACTCATAACAATAAATTGTTACATTAAAGATTTATAATTTTTCGTTTTGTTCACTCTCGTTTATAAAACACTTAAGAGAATTACTTAAGAGTATACCCCAATTTTTGGCTTCATTTGAAAAAAAAAAGTGCTCGAACTTCTCAATATTGCAGTGATATGCTACACAACAAATACGATAAAGTATTTTATCATTTATTCACTATTGATAAATGGTGACCACCATAATTGGTGACACACACACATTTGTACTAATACACTTAAACTAAATTTTATATTCATACTTTTTTGAATAAAATGACAAAAATTCTTTTACCATGCATGATATTTAGAACATCGTTTTTGGTTTGCTGTAAATCGTTTCTGGTTTAATTTTTACATATAAATTGTTACAAAAATGAGGCACATTTGTGTCAAACTAAAAAACAATCAGGGAAATGCAATCTTGAATTAGATTTATCAAGAATAATCATGTAATTATATCTTAGTCACTTAATGCCCAATATTATACTTCTTACAGTTCTCGTACAATACAGATCAATTCTCATAAAATAAACAGTGATTTTTAGCAGGTAATAAATGTATTTTCCGAAAATACTTTGGATCAACTGTAAAATATTATAGAATAACAGAACCCCTCAATAGAATAAAAGAAGCCCTCAAAAACTATAATAGATTAAGAAAAAGGGGACTGTAATTTTAAAATATTCGTTGTGCGAAAGCGCTTAGAAAAGTAGACGCCATATAAGTCAGCTATCTGAAATTATGGTAAAAAAATTTGGCATTTATGGCAATAAAACTTCCAGGTTTACATCCTGTTTTTTTTTTTGCTTTTGCGGCATGTTTAGACAATAGTTTCGCTATATTTTGCAGCAAAATTAGAATACACACACTACGGAGAATTTTTCAATTTATTTATATTTTAAAGACCAGAGAAGCTTTTAATTGAGCATAAAAAGCTCCTTAATATCGAGGGCAAGAACCATTCAAAAATCTCTTTTCCCATTTACTCGTAAATGTTTGCAATAAATTTTCATTCAACTTTCATTTTCAACGTATTTAGCGATTTTTTACCCTTTTAAAAACAATTAAAGTGAAAATTTTCCACAAGTACAGCAATCATCAATCATATATGAATTTAAATTTGCTATATTTATATTTTGCACCTACAATTTTCCAAGTTAATCCCATTTAAAACTCTAAAACTGTAAATGGAATTAAATTAGGAGGAAAAAACGAAAAATTTAATAATAAAATTTCCAACGGTCAGTAATTATTTTGGTCAGAATGTGCACTATATTATTTTTTTTTTTAATTAACCTGTATAAAAATATACACAACTTATGCACCCTCATGTCAAATACAGCACGAACAACAAAAAAAGGTTTTGAATTTTAATTTAAAAAATGAAAGTACTAAAGGTCTTATCTAAACTGATTGTAACAGCTATCATATGGAAAATATAAAAAAAAAACCTAAAATTTCTATCTGGCTGCATATTTAATTGAGCGAATCATTTTTTTTTGTTCAGCACATCACCATATTTAATTAAGTAGGTACGTGAAATTTCTATGCAATACACACGTTTTTAAACACCTGAATTTTATTACTAAGGTAAGTATATGTAAAATATTGTGAAAACTGTTCACAACTTTCTAATATAATTTTCAGAGTACAACAATCATTATGATTTGTAATTAAAAAAAAAAAGTGAAAAATAAAATTTATAGTTCTTGGTCGATTGAAAATAAAAATCGACAAAAATTCCATTGCTTCCATAAGTAAATTTTGGTTCACTCTTAGTAATACTTTGTTGCAAATTGCATGTTTGGAGCACAACTGTAAAATTGAGAAAATATTAAAATTTTCATATAAAAATAAGAGAATTATAGAGAATCAATCCGAAGACCTAAGAAAACTCATATAATTCCGCAAGGTTAATTTATATAAAATATATGGTTACGATTAAACCCATTGAAATTTCACTTGAATTTATAAATTGCATCCCAAGCTGATTTAACATTTTTCACATTAACGAGTCCAATTACTTCCAATCTAATGCCAAAATGTAATAGGTTGATAACCTGAATAAATAATTGGAAACCAATAAAAATATTAAAAAATTCAATGTCGGTAGAATCGAGATCATAGTCGCAGAATGAGATCATTGTCGGAATTTAAAAATTGCTATAGTCCGCTTAGAATCTCAAATTTAAAACAATTGATTTACTTTAAAATTTACTTCAGTGTTTGTATTAAAATTGGAACGGAATTGAAATTTAGAAAACAACTAAAATCGGAATCGATTTCTAGTTGTTGTTCTGCATCTCAGTTCTAGTCTATAGAGGCACTAAAATTTTCAAATTGTTGTTATTTAATTCCTTATATTCCTTCCCTTACCTAAGCTTCATGTTACATAAGTTGTAATCATGTCAACAGCAACAAAATGCTTATAATCACAAAGAAGCCAACATAAAAGTCTAAAATATTTAAAAAAATATAAAATCATTTTTTATGTTAATGTTAAAAAAAACTCATTTCAGCAATTTCGTCAGAAGAAGAAGAAAACATTTCAACATTTTTATTAGTTTTTTATTTCACTTAAAATTTATTAAAGTAAATGAATAAATAAAATTGTTAAAATGTTATGGTTGAAAAAATCCCACTTAACTCCAACTTAACTATTACAAATAAATTAGAGAGAAGATTTTTGAAAACAAAAAACAAAGTACCCAAAAATTATTACCATAAATAATTTTAATTTTCTGGTTTCAAAGTAATTGTTATAGTTGATGCATTTTAAAATGTTTCCTCCTTATGGTTTTAGGTAATGTTAATATAATTAGATTTAAAACGGATGCACATAATTTAACTGTAATTACAAAATCTTAAAATTTTGAAAACGAAAAGAAGACGAGAAATTTTCAAGTACCCATTTAGAAAGATATGCCCTTTCTTTTTGCTTTTGAAGTAAGTAGGCTGAAATTTACAAAATTAAAATTAATTTATTATCTTTTAAGTTGGTGTAAAACAGTGGACGGACGAAAGGTGATGGCAACAAAATATTAAATGTTAGTCAAAACAAAAATCAAAAGACTTAAGTTGGAAACTTTATTGCAATTTGAATGAAATGAAATTTTAATCACAGACATGAATGACGTCAAAGTATAAGCTTCTTCTTGCTAATCTATAATGTAGAAGAAACTAATTGCACTTTTTCAGGTTGAATTTTGAATGTTTTCAAAAGAGTCACATGCATACATGCTTTCTAATTATTTTTAAATGGATAATTTTCTCGCAGAGTTTTTACACAAAAAAAAAATTTTAGTTTTCACTCAAATACCTTTAGAATTAGCAAAATTTCAGCTTTCGTATGTCTGGAAATTTCCACAGGAATTGATTTTTTAATGAATGAGAATGTCACAGTATAAGTATTTTTAATGTCACACAAGCTATTGACTATAACAGTAAGTATTATATAAAATATTGCAATTAAAACACGAAAAATTTTTATTTTACTTATTTTTGATAAATTTTTCTAAAAGAAATATCGAAGGAGCGTTCAAGTTTGATCTCTACAGTAGACGAATGATTGTGATTGAGTTGGGGAATAAATTATCATTAAATAGTGTTAACAACGAGAGAAAAGCAATGATACCTTCATCTCAAAAGTTTAAAATTCAAAATGACTTCATATATAATTTTTGTTTGAAGTTTAAAAGTTTCAATGGTAACATAAACGCGCATTGGACGCATTAATATAAAAAAAATTATTTAAAAAAATGTTTTAAAAGCGTCTGCTTAGATACACTCCTTATCTTAAGTCAATTGTTACAAATAAGCTTTTTAAAAGATTTTTCTTAATGGAAATAACTGCATAATTTTTAGACGACTACTCGTGTACCCAATATAAGTAGCTAATTAAATATCACATACTCCAAAAGAAGATTAGTATAATCAAATGAAATTTCTGAAATTTTAACAGCTCCTTACTTACTGAAATTGAAAATGATAAATGCAATGAAATTTGAACATCCATTTTGAAATAGTTTCGAAATTGTTCTTTCCAGGACACGTTAAGGAAAAGACCCTTATATATGCAGATCAAAAAATTAAAAATCAATTTTTTAAACGTCAACGAATTAGGCATTATATGGACTAGCAAAGTTATACACCAGTGTTACTCAGTTTGTAACGCTGAGAAATATTCATCTGAAGTATAGACATTCTTGCTCAATGTCGAATTATGAGCCAATTTAACTATAACTTTTGTCAGTCCCAACAATAAATCAAAAATTAAATACTTAAGCTAAGTTAATCAAATTTATAAAAAATGTTTTGTTAAAATAAATACATATTAATTTAATTTTGGCCAATTGCCGCCACTGTTGTTCGAATAGCTGCTGCTCTATAACGTATAAAAAAATGTAACTTATAGTTATATCTCAGAAAAGATTTAGACATTATTTAAATTTCGCACAGTCAACTATCTTCATAAAATGCGATACTCATATAATCATTTAGGTAATTATTGTAGCCATCA